TTGAGAAACACTGCTCTAAATGCTAGAAATATACCTTTCTTCTTGTGGATAATTTATTCTCTTGTCCCGAGAATTAGTTTTAGTAAACTAATGATATTGATGTGGAAGAACAGGAGAGGTGGCAGGTGTTTGCTTTTGCTTGAGCTGCCTGGGAAGGACAAGATTCTGCTTTTGCCTCCACTCTTCTACTTTGGCACTCTGAAATAATTTTTCAGCAATTGAAGTAAACTGTGGGAAAAAAGAGAAAAGGGGAAGGAGGGAGGGAAACGGGAACATTTTAAAAGCAGCTGAAAGAGAAGATGAATAGGAACTGCCCGGATCAATTTGAGACAGAGGGTGTACTAAAAATAGGCAATTATGTCATAGTGCCCATAAAACATTCTCACCAGGCCTCTATCACCATTATCTTCCTGTGATCCTGTTTCTTTTTTCTTGTATAGGGGCTAATGTTCTGGCAGGAGTGCTGGTGACATTTTTCCTCTTGCTGGGCATAGGCGGCGGGTTTTGGTGAGTCCATAGACACTTTAAGACGGTATTAGATAAAGGTATCCCTGAAATTAAGTCTAGTCATGCCCGACTCTCCATTTCTAAGCCAAAGAGCTGATGTTGTCCGTAGACGCTTCCAAAGTCATGACTGTATGGAGTATCGTTGCCTTCCTGCCAGAGTGGTACCTTTTGATCTACTCACATTTGCATGCTTTTGAACTGATAGGTTGGCGGAAGCTGGGGCTAACAGCAAAAGCTCACCCCAGTCCCCAGATTCGAACTGCTGAACTTTTGGTCAGCAAGTTCAGCAGCTCAGCGGTTTAACCCGCTGTGCCACTGGGGGCTCCTTAAAGTGTTGTTACAAGATGGATAATACAGATTTTTCCCCCGTGTCAGGAGCGACTTGAGAAACTGCAAGTCGCTTTTGGTGTGAGAGAATTGGCTGTCTGCAAGGACGCTGCTCAGGGGGCGCTCAGATGTTTGATGCTTTACCATCCTTGTGGGAGGCTTCTCTCATGTCCCCCGCATGAGCTGGAGCTGACAGAGGGAGCTCAACCTGCTCTCCCTGGATTCAAACCATTGATCTGTTGGTCAGCAGTCCTGCCGGCACAAGGGTTTAACCCACTGTGCCACCAATAATACAGAGGAGACATTGTGAAGATGGAAGGCACTTGTCATGATTTCCCCCATCAATTTTTACTCACGCCCTGGGTAGTGCAGCTTTAGAAAAAGGACAGTCTTCTTGCTGCATCTCTAAGGACAAGCTGTATTCACAATTTCTGTCACTTTGGTTATAGGTATTACCGTCGTAAGAAAAAGGCAGAAGAAGAAGATGAGGACAAAGAAGATGAGGACAAAGAAGATGAGGACAAAGAGGATGAGGACAAAGAGGATGAGGACAAAGAGGATGAGGGTTCGGAGCCTTCAGGGAGCTCCAAGAGCGATGAGGAAGAATCCAAACCAAAAAAGCCAGCTGCCTCAAATATCCCAAGCCCTCCACCATTCGATATCCCAAGCCCTCCACCATTCGACATCCCAAGTCCTCCACCACTTCCTCCAAGGTCTTTCCAATAGCAAAAAAAGCGACATTTCAGCTTTACTAGTTATAGGCATGTGCGATTCAAACAAATGATTCTAAACTGTGTTCAAAAAGAGGGGGTGCTGGCACTTCATTTCTAAGGTCACTTCTGAAATTTTCCTAAAAAGAATTTATGAAACTTCCGAATATTCATGATTCCTTAATGCCAGACACGCATGCGAGATAGGGAAAACAGCACTGGCAGTGAGGAAACTTCAGGGGCTTCTCTCTCCCTCAAACATCAGCCCTGATTGGCTGGGAGGCAAGCCCTGGGTTAGGATTTGCCTCTGAAGTTTACTCGGAAGTTTTTTTTACTTCCGAGCGGGTTTCTGACGCGTAAACGTGCATCGGAAATACCCTTCTGATTTTGAACTATTTGGTTCAGTTGATCAGAAGTAAATTGGAACTCTTTGAAAGTCTGACTCAGCTAACTGTGCATTCTCATATAATCTTAATAATAATAATAATAATAATAATAATACTTTATTTATACCCTGCCACCATCTCCCCAAGGGGACTCGGGATGGCTTACATGAGGCCAAGCCCAACAACACATCAGTAAAAATAAAACAGCAAGCAAATAAAACAGTACAATTAATATAATCCTAACACAGGACTTGCCTCCCAGCCATAGGCTTGGATGAGAGTGCACAGTTAGCTGAGATAGACTTTTAAAGAGTTCTGATTTACTTCTGATCAACTGAACCAAATAGTTCAAAATCAGAAGGGTATTTCCAATGCACGTTTACAAATCAGAAACCCGCTCTGAAGTTTGAAAAACTTCCAAGTAAACTTCCGAGTAATGAGACTTCCGCTTCCGAAACCCAAGCCTAATTAGTCATCCTTATGAAAAGGCCTGGTGTGATACTCTGAAAAGTAGAGTAGTAGTAAATAGAGGATATAGATCTTGAGGTTGGGGAATAATGTGGGGATAAAAAGAGAATTGTGGGGCTAAGCTACAGACTGAAAAGTCGTGTTGTGGGTAGAGAAGTGGGGAGGTCAGAAAAGCTGATTTGGGGTGGCATTGCATGTAGCGGTAGGGAAGGTTGACTATATATTTGAACAAATGGAGATGTGTGTGTGTATATGAGAGCATTTGCAGATTGGTGAATAAGGGAAGACTGCTGTGTCTATGGATGAAATGTGGAGCAGCTGCAAGAAGACGAGGCAGTCTACTAGCATCTTTGATCGAGATTCAGTTGTGATGTCTTAGTTTGAATGCTGAATTACAGCTCAAGGAGACCAGAGTTCAAATCCTTGCTTAGTAATGGAAGTCTATTAAGTGACCTGGCACAAATCACACTCCTCAGCCTCAGAGGGATAGCAAACCCCTCTGAACACATCTTGCCAAGAAAACCCCATGACAGGTTCATCTTGGGGTCACCATATGTCAGAAACAAGGGCACGCAACAAGGTGTCCATGGTGATACAGGCTTTATACTTTTAAGTCTCTAATTTACTTATGCATTTGGTGGATAAATGAAAGAAAAATCAGCAGAAGTGAGCAGCGTCAACAATGCAACGTGCAATATGTTCTTCCCACACCTGTACATTAACAGATGGGTTGTTCTCTCCAATTGCCAAAGTTGGAGGGGACCATTTTGCAAAGGTGTATGAATGATTTTGGCTAGCAGATATTGAATACAGCCAGGAAATTATCTAAAATTGTGTGAATAGAATCATAGATTCGTAGAGTTGGAAGAGACCAACCCCCTGCCAAGAAGCAGGAAAATTGCAAAGTGCCCCCAACATATGGCCATACAGCCTCTGCTTAAAAGCTTAAGGAGCCTCCACCACACTCCGAGGCAGAGAGTTCCAATGCTGAACAGCTCTCACAGTCAGGAAGTTCTTCCTAATGTTCAGGTGGAATCTCCGTTCCTGTAGTTTGAAGTCATTGTTCTGTGTCCTTGTCTCCAGAGCAGCAGAAAACAAGCTTGCTCCCTCCTCTCTATTATTTCCTCTCACATATTTATACATGGCTATCATGTCTCCTCTCAGCCTTCTCTTCTGAAGGCTAAACGTGCCCAGCTCTTTAAGTCGCTCTTCATAGCTCTAGGGTAGTGATCAAACATGGAAGATGTTGTGGAGTAGAATGTAGAAACATAGAATCCTAGAGTTGGAAGAGACCCAAGACCAGTGCGACTCCATCATGCTGGAACACATAATCAAATCATTCCAGACAGATGGCCATCTAGCCTGTTAGAAAACCTTCAGAAAAGGTGACTCTATCACACTTTCAGGCAGCAAGATGGCCCTCTAGATATCCTACCACAACTTGGCACTGGTTAGACTTGATGGGCATTGCAATCTAAGACCGCAAGATCCAGATGTAAGCCTATACAAAGGAGCAGCCCACATCGACCCCCTCATCAGAGACCTGCCTCCCTTCCTCCCTCAAAAGGAGCCCCAGGAGAGGGGGCCAAGACTCTGGGTGCCATAGAAGAATTTCCATTTATTTCAATTCATTGAGAGTGTTTGTTCCTGATGCATACCAGAGCGGGTTGGGGATCAGGACGGCAGGGGAGGGCGAGAGACAGAGCCAACAGGGAGGGCCACGCACAGCCAAGATCACTCTGCCCTGCCCAAACCCACAACACAATGATTCTCCAAAGATACTCAGTGTGGGGAGTCAAACTGCCCCCTGGCATGATTGGTTTTTGAGGGGGGAGAAGAGCACGGAGAACTAGGAAACACAACTGCAACATCTTTTTCTTCTTCAGGAACAGAAGGGAACGGAACAAAAGATTTAGCGGAGTGTCCTGGGCCGTAATGAGAATTAAACAGGAACTGACAACCACAGCAGCAACACATACACACACGCTCACTCACACATACATACATACAAACACAGCCTTTGACCCCCCGCTTCCCCATAAGTGGCTTCGGCAGGAGAGGGAGACGCTGTCCATCATTGACGCCCTCCCTTTGTTCAACCAGTCTGAAGAGTAAAGTTGAAGCGTCTCTGCTCCGTGCTGGTTGGGCGAAGACTCCGTTCAATGCCCCCTAAAAGCACCCTCTCTGGAGCAGCATGGCGAGCGGGCTGCAGTGCGGAGAGAAAAGGAAGGTCACATGTGAAAAGCTGTGATGGTACAGGTTGTGTTGGTTCGCACCCAGTGTCGTGAGTGCTGTCTTGTGGCTTGGAGTGTTTGGCCTCTCCTTCCCAACCCTTTTGAGTGCGTTGTTGGTGAAAGAGAGAAAGGAGAAAGCAAGAGACAGAACGTGTTTGTGTATACACACACGGCACCTTTCAAAGGGTCACTTTTTTCTACACTCCTCCTTTTGAGTCCTTCTTTGAGCTTGCCATCGCTTACAGACGAAAGGAAGGAGAGCCTTCACAACCCACATCTCCTAAAATCCACAACAGCTCTTGCTTTTCCTGGATCTCCAAAGACGTAGGCCAAGAGCCCCAATCCCCACACAAGTTTTGCTCCGTTCAAGAAGGTTTTGAGACTCATAGAATCCTCCAATGGTTGCCCTTTCATAGCGGGATGTTTTGATGGTTTCAAGGCTCCTTTCCCAAGTGTGATGCCTGAAAGGGCCTCCATGCAGTTTGCAAAAAGTGGTTGCCTTTTCTCTCTCTCTCAGGAGAGGACAGGGGGCCAAGCGTAGTGCTGCCTTCCCAGCTTTGGTCTCTGACCTCAAATGAGTGGTACTCCTCTTGGCCCCCAGGAATGGCAGAGACAAATATATTCCTGGTGTCTCAATCCATCCCCAAATTAGCAAAGGGCTTCACTGGTTTCAACCCCATCTGATTTCACTCCCACCTCCCCGGCTGATAAAGACTGGTCCCAGCTGTGGGGGGTGGGAATGGGATGGAGAAGCTTGAATCTGGAAACTGGGATTGAAGGGTTTCTATTTCATTTAAAGGGAAGTGTGTGCCCTCCATCCTTTCCCCACCCCACAAGAAAATGTCATTTGTAAGGGCCTGTACTCCTAAAATGTGTAGGAAAGAGATTTATGAGCCAAGATGAGGGTGAGGCTAAAAATATTCCCAAACTTGCCACTGCATCCAAAATGGGATGAATATTTACTCTGGTAAGTGTGGGAAAGGCATAAAAACACTCAAGTTTTGGAGATGATACCCCTGCCTTTGTGGCCCACCCCTTTCCCGACCCCCATTTTGGCGGCTGCTTCTCAGTCCCCTCCCTTCTGGCTTCCCTATCTTCCCCAAACTCAATGAGAATGAGCAGGGATCGCTACTGCCGGGGACTGTGCTACAACAGCCAAAACACACTCTCCGAGCTGCTTCCAAGAGCAACAAGGGAGATCTTTTATGCCTCACCCCACCCCTTAAAACCAAAAAAGGGAAAGCCCCTCCTGCCCCCAACATGGGGGTAGAGGAACTTGTGATAAAGGACGCAAGTCTCTCCCCTTCCTTCCATCCCCACGTAGCCCAGGCTTGGCTGCCCCATGTTTGTGGGTGGAATCTTAGGGGGCTCCATTGCAAATTGGGAATACAGGATGAAGGGGGCTGGTGGGGGATAGTGACCGGAGGGCTAGATGGTTCCCACTGATTATAGCAAGAAGGGGTTAGTACTCCCCATGGTGGAAGCAGAGGTGCTGCTGGGGACCATGCCCGCAGGCGCCACGCTCTGAGGGGGCAGCCCCATGGCAGGGAGCCCCATAGGTGGAACGCCCCCCATGGGCTGAACTCCCACAATGGGGGAAACGGTGGCTAAGGGCATCCCGGGGGCCATGGGGGAGACCGAGACCATAGGAGCCGTGGCAGGGAAGGCGGGGGGTGCTGGCTGGGATAAAGGGAGAACTGGGCTGACACGGAGTTGGTTGAGAGAAAGTGGAGCAGCCGCCGTTGCTTGAAAGGGGTTTGTAGTTGAGGCAGATGGGGCAGGGGCAGAGCCTGAACCTGCAGTGAACAACAAGAGAAAAAGGGGAGAGTGGGGAGGAGGAAAAGCAGCATTACAATCAACCTCATGAACTGGATCAAACAACTGCCTTTGTATTATTTATTTACTTCATTTCTACTCTGCCTTTCTCACCCCTCGGGGGACTTAAGGCGGCTTACAACTCCAAAAAGAATTCAGTGTTGGTAAAATCAACAATAAAACTATCAAAACACACCCTCAGTTAAAACTAATTAACAGTTAATGTAAAACACATAAAAACAGTATACAAATTAACATATAAAGTGCATGGTTCTATTCATCCAAAATCCTTGCACATAAACCTTATTCAGACAGTGTCAAAACCCATAGTAACTTATTCTTCGAACACTTGTGTGCAAAGCCAGGTCTTCAGCTTTTTTTTCTAAAAGCTAGAAGGGATGGGGCCTGCCTGATGTCGCTGGGGAGGGAGTTTGACTGTTGAGGAGCCACCGCTGAGAAGGTCCTGTCTCACACTTGCGAAAAAGGTGAGACCGAGAGCAGGGCCTTCCCAGATGATGTTAAAGTTCTAGTAGGCTCATAAGAGGAGATGCATTCAGACAGGTAAATTGGACCATAACTGTTTAGGGCTTTATAGGCCAAGACCAGCACTTTAAATTGGACTCAGTAGCATACTAACAGCACCGATTTTGTTTTCAGCCATGATATTGTTTTTATGATGTTACTGTGATTGTGTTATGTTTTTATTTGATTTATTTTAATGTGGCTGTTTTATCTGTAATTTTTGGGCTTGCCCCCTTGTAAGCTGCCCCAAGTGTCCTTGGGAGATGGTGGCAGGTTATAAAAAAGTTTTATTATTATTATTGTTGTTGTTGTTGTTATTATTATTATTATTATGGAGATGACACAACAGAGGAGTTGTGTGCTCCCTGTACATCACTTCAGTTAGAAATCTGGCTGCTGCCTGTAGTTTTGAAACACTTATTTTGGAGACTACAACTCCTAGCACCCCAAAGGAGTCCCTGGTGGCGCAATGGGTTAAACCCTTGTGCCAGCAGGATTGCTGGCTGACAGGTCAGCAGTTTGAACCTGGGGAGAGTGGGCTGGGCTCCCTCCGTCACCTCCAGCTCCCCATGTGGAGACATGAGAGAAGCCTCCCACAAGGATGGCAAAACAACAAAACATCTGGGCATCCCCTGGGCAACGTCCTTGCAGACGGCCAGTTCTCTCACACTAGAAGTGACTTACAGTTTCTCAACTCTCTCCTGACACAGGGGGAAAATCATCCCAAAAACCAGCATATGGATTTTAGGTGTCATAGTTCCAATAAGTAATGCTTTCAAAGTTTCTTCCTTCTTTTAACTTCCTGTAACCTGGTTCTTATGTACCCCTAGATCAAAATCATGTAGGACAATCTCCACCCCACCCTGCCATGTTAATCCTGGCCTGCTCTAAGTTGTCACACTCAGTCTGAAAGAGCCTTGAGAAGCAAGGATGGCTCATTTCACTTCTGTCTGAGAAATAAGGGCAGGGCAGGCCTCTTGAAAAGTGTGTCTCCTATGTTTATGTCTGGTGCATTCTTTCCAGAACAGTAAAGGTAAGAAAAGTGTGACTATAGTCATCTTTGGTATCATTGTCCTATTTATATGTTCCTGACTTTGTCAGGTTTGTTGGCTGGCTACAGATCACTGTGGCCATGGAATCCATCCCTCAGATACTTACCAGTGGGTAGGAAAGGATTGGAGGCCTTTGCGCTGCTAGAGAGGGCAGTGGGTTTGCTGACCAAAGAGTCCAAATCAACAAGGGCAGCATTGGGACCCAGGAAGGACTCTGGAGTCTTGCGTGTTGGCTTGGAGGTGTCCGGAAGGGACCCACTCATGGCTGCCATGTCAAAAGCATTGGGGCTCTCAGTGCCACCTCCAGCCCGGCAAACAGGCACCTCACCAGCTAAGAGTGAGAGCTCACCTGGGGATGGAGGAGGAGAGGGAGACAGAGAACAGTGGTAAGACGAGAGAAGAAAGGGGGGAATCGTGACCACAAGCACCAATGGATGGTCAGCAGAATGGAACTGCTGTTTGCATTTAGTCATGTGTATACATTCTGAAGTAGAATTTGGAAATGTTTTTTTTTTTTGGTATTACAATGCCCAGAATCTCTTGGCCTGCCAGAGGAGTGTGGGAACTGTACATCTCCAAAAGCAACACACTCCACTTTTTTTTTGTTTTTACTCTAAAATACAACTCAGGTAAGGTCTGAGATTATTCCCCCCCGACACCATAACACAAACAAACAGCAAAATCACAACAACATGCCTTCCTCAGATTGCAAATATATTAGCTTTTGGTTTGCCAAACCCAAACAGGAGAGAACCTAAGCAGCTGTGTGTGGGAATCCTTCAGGCCAGCTGATCCTATCTGGTCCAATGTGGAACAGCAAACCAGGTTGTGTCGCTGTGCGTTTTTTGGGCTGTATGGCCATGTTCCAAAAGCATTCTCTCCTGACGTTTCGTCCACATCTATTGAAGGCATCCTCAGAGATTGAGCGGTATGTTGGAAGCTAGAAAAGTGGGATTAATATATCTGTGGAGTGTCCAGGGTGGGAGAAAGCACTTGTCTGCTTGAGGTAGGTGTGAATGTTCCAATTTGACACCTTGATTAGCATTTAACGGCCTAGCAGTATCAAGGTTTGGCGTCTTACTGCCTGGGGAATCCTTTGCTGGGAGGTAATTAGCTGGCCCTGATTGTTTCCTGTCAGGAATTCCCCTCTTTTTGAGTGTTATTCTTTATTTACTGTCCTGATTTCAATGGCTTCTCTGTGTAGTCTGACATGGTGGTTGTTAGAGTGGTCCAGGATTTCTGTGTTCTCAAATAATGTGCTGTGTCCAGGTTGGTTCATCAGGTGCTCTGCTATGGCTGACTTTTCAGGTTGAAAGAGTCTGCACTGCCTTTCATGTTCCTTTATGTGTGTTTGGGCACAGCGTTTGGTGGACATGCAGCTGTGGACAAGTCTACATAGTCTACATAGGGACCACCAAACGCACTTGCCTAGTTTCCAAGAGTCCCCTCAACCTTTGAGGATGCCTGCTATAGATGTGGGTGAAACATCAGGAGAGAATGCTTCTGAACATGGTCATACAGCCTGGAAAACTCACAGCAACCAAGTGATTCCGGCCATGAAAGCCCTTGACAGCACATTAAACCAGGTTGTGATTTATCTGGGAGGGTCGGAGAATCAGGAAAGCACAAGTAGGTGAGAGATGAGCAAACATGCAAAGGAAAGGGAGGAGCCAGAGGCAGGAAGGCGGAAGAGCCATGCAGGAAGCAGGGCTCACCTGTGCTGCTCCCGGATTTGGGCAGCGCCGGGCGCAGGCTGTCGAAATCTGAGAATTCGTCCCTGTCCCCAGGACCACCAAACTGCTCAAAGCCTCCGCCAGCTGGAGGGGGAGGGACAAGGCAGAAGGGGGAGGAGGGGGGCGGCTGGATTAAAAGGGAGTGAGGAAAGATACCCCATTCCATGCTTACCCCCAACCACAGATCTGAAGTACGCCCAGATATCATAGACCAGGACACCATACCAAGGGAACCTCGTTCCCAGCCTGTTGGACCCAATTCGGACCCCTTGAATCTCCCTCCGCCCTTTGGTTCTCAAACCTCAGTGCCCCAGTTCATTCTCCAGCCTGACCTGCAGTGCCATTGGTGCTGGGTTTGGAAGGGGAACCTCCCCAGGGATCTGAAAAAGTAGATGCTGGAGCCCAAGGGTCAGGGGCCGGTTTCCCCTGGGAGGCCGGAGTTGGGCTGGATGACCATGGGTCTGTGGATGAGGCTGCTGTTGTCCCAACAGAAACCCCACCTGGGAAGAAAAGTAAGGAACAGTTTTAAAAGAGCAGAAAAAGAGTTCATCCACCAGGCAGATCAAGACTGCAAAACTTGAAAGTTACTTTTTGGATAGAAAATCTCATCCCACAGCAGAAGGTGGCCAATGGGAAGTCACTGCCAGGCAAGTGCTACATGGACAAAGAATCCCACCTGGCTGTTTGACACCAACTCACCTGTGATTATGGCCAATGACTTGTTGGTTGGAGCTAGTTGTCCAAAAAAGTAACTTTTCCAAGCCATAGATAGTCTGCATGCCCATTATCGGTCCCAAGCAGAAAAGGCCTGTATCAAACATTTCTCTACGCCAAAATGGCAACAACTCAAATGGATCTAAAGAAAGTGAGGAACTGCTTCTTAAGAGGTTTAACCAAAAAGCAAAAAGGATGCCTCTTCAGTTCAGCTATTCTGATTGGTAGACCTGTCCTGTCAGAGAGTGTATCGTTGTCTCCTGAGATCACTGAATTCAGCCTTGATTCTGCTCTAAGACCCACTTACTTGTCTTTTCTAGCTATACAGGGTATCAGTAGAACACTTCTCCAGCACCATATTTCAAATTAGTTGATTTTCTTCCTATCAGCTTTATTTGTCCAGATTTCATAACCATATGTAGAGATCAGAAATAAAAATACAACAGAATGGACAATTCTTACATTTGTTTTCAAAGATGCTATATATCTTGACACTTGAATCCTACTCTTCGGATTTCATGATTGCTGTTGCTCTAGAGCAGGTTTCCAACCTATGGTCCATGGACCACCAGTGGTTTGTAAGATCTAAAATATGGTCTGCGGCCTCACTGTTCCTACACCGTTGCAACGAGAGCAACTGGTCTCACAAAACCCTCTTATAGTGCCGAGGATTATTAAATATGGTTTTCTGTGGGCGAGCAGATAGTGACTACTGGATGGCATATATTCTGTATTAGAAACTAGAGCTGATGTGGTCTATCCAATGCAATTTTCTGAATCAGCTCTCCAAATACCCAAATCAAATCTAAAGTTGACCAAAAACCAATTCGTAACCCTTTCGGTACTAATGGTGGGGAGTGGTCCCTGGTCAAAGTGGTCCCTGGTCAAAAAAAGGTTGGGAACCACTGCTCTAGATGTACTACAACAGGGGTCTTCAAACTAAGGCCCGGGGGCCGGATACGGCTCTCCAAGGTCATTTATCCGGCCCTCGCTCAGGGTCAACCTAAGTCTGAAACAGCTTGAAAGCACATAACAACAACAGCAATCCTATCTCATCATCCAAAAGCAGGCCCACACTTCCCCATTGAAATACTAATAAGTTTACATTTGTTAAAATTGTTCCTCATTTTAATTATTATATTGTTTTTAAGTGCTTTTTGCACTACAAACAAGATATGTGCTGTGTGCATAGGAATTCATTTATTTTTTTTCAAATTATAATCCAACCCTCAAACAGTTTGAGGGACTGTGACCTGGCCCTCTGTTTAAAAAGTTTGAGGACCCCTGTACTACAACATTCAGCATTATGACAGGGTTTGTGGTCCTACTAACTTCTGGAAGGCCATATATTCCACAGTCCTGCCCTGCAAGAATTCGTGTGCCAAGTATAGAAGGAAGGAAACTTACTGAAGTCTACAAAGCTCCTTAATTTTTTAAAAAACCACTTATACTGTGAAAATGTATTAAGTATTTTAATATGTAAATATTAACTACTCTATTAATATGTTTTTTTTTTACCTTCAGTCTTCCAGGGGTCGGTGCCTGCAGCTGAGGGGCCACCCCATGGGTCTGAGGGGGCTGCAGGAGGTGCTGTGGTGCTCCCCCATGGATCTCCTGTGGAAGGTGCTCCAGTAGCGGCTGGTCCCCATGGATCAGTGGGAGCTGCGGATACAACTGGGGCAGCACCACCCCAGGGGTCGGCTGGAGCAGGAGAGGCACCCCAGGGGTCAGCAGTAGGCTGGGCGGTGAAGACATCAGCGAGATCCATCAGGGATGACTGCAAGTGAAGAAATGAGATGGGGGAAAGAAAATCCATCACATTTCTACTGTTCCACCTAAATCTGTGGTTCCCAACCCATGGTCTGTGAACCACCAGTGATCCCCAAGAACAAAAATATGGTCTGCGGCTTCACCATTACTATAATGTTGCCTCGAAACTACGTGGCAATGAGAGTGATTAGTCTTGTGAAACCCTCTTATAGTGCCGAGGCAACAGGGATGTTGGGAGGGGGAGAGGCTGACTACCCACAAAGATTACTACTAGTACATCAGCTCTAATATTAAAAATGTTTTTTTGTGGATAAGCAGAGGCGACTACTGGATGGCATATGTTCTGTATCAGAAACTAGAGCTGATGTGGTCTATCCAATGCAATTTTCTGAATCAGTACCCCAAATAACCAAACCAAATCTAAAGTTGACCAAAAACATATTCATAACCCTTTTGGTACTAATGTTGAAGAGTGATCCCTGGTCAAAAAAAGATTGGGAGCCCCTGACCTAGATCATTTCTTCATCTCTCCCATTGTGAAATACCCACAAAGTCTGTGGTGTGTGAGAGCAGCAGGTTAGAACTGGGAGGGACAGAGGTATATACTTGGGTGTTGAAAGGCGGGTTTGTTACTTTAGAAACATTGTAATGCATACCCTGTTTTGCCATACAATTATTATGTCTGGTTAAATAAAAATAGAGTTTATTCAGAAAAACCATCCTCCACAGTGTCAAGACATTATTTATTTATTTATTTATTTTATTTACTTTGCTTATATACCGCTGTATCTCAAACCCGAAGGCGACTCACAGCGGTTCACAAACAGTAGAAACAGTAGAAACAGCAGTGGTTCCATACAACATATAACAATTGACTTAACACATTATCCATAAATTACCAATAAGCAATTACAATGCACAATTATTACAAAAAACAACCGTACCCAATCTTCTCATCATCCAAGCGTAGAAATTAACATACGTAATTAACAGTAGAAATTAACATACGTGTTAATTCCAATAAAAAGAATGAAGAAAAGGAAATCAGGGCCATAAATTGTAATTGCCTGGAAAGCACCGAAGTACTGGAACATCTGGATGGGAAATGTTCTTTTTCCTTAATGAATCACGGACCAGTACTGCATTTACACCCATTGGATAGAAACTGTTGCTTTCAATGTAGGCTAACAGCACTTTTGGGTATCCCTGCCGTATACAATCTCACTGCACACAGTCTTAAATAAAATTTAATCTTGTACATAGTTTTTTTATTAGAAATAATGTTGTAATGAACATATAGTTCATCATAAATATTGGAAATAGCAGCCTTCCAAGCATGAAGTATATATTTGCTAACTTGCATTGTATGTATATATCGATTTGCCAGTATGACTGACCTCTTTGGTATGGGAGGGAATACAGACATGTTATTATACTGAGCATGTTCAGACTCAAGACTCCATTTTGCTATCAGTATGCTTTTGGTCTTCAATGTTAGCAGTTCGCTTTAGACCTAAGTGGAGATGGAGGCAGTATGCTTTTGGACTTCAATGGAAGGAAGCAGATGTCTTTTGGACTTATGCAGGAATAGTTTACTATATGTTTGCTTTGAGAAGCAGTGAGTACAATTATACAGTTTGGACTTTCATAAAGACTTTGGACTGTGGACTATTGATTAAGAATGATACCCTGTGTTCTCAACACAGAGAAACTACATCCTATCTATAAATGTGCCTGTATGTTGAATACAAGATGTTTATGAGTAAACAAGATATGTTGCTTTTTAATGAAGACTTTGTTTTTTGTCTCTGAGTGCATATTTTTAAACTAAGAGGTTTTAAGGGAGAGTATATGTTTTGGGGAACTGCAATTTCAATTTCAACTTCAAATAAACATTTTCAAAATTCTGCTAGCTACGTGTGTGTGTGTGTGTGTGTGTGTGTGTGTGTGTGTGTGTGCGCAATTGCATGTCTTTGTCCCTGGTAGTTCAAAGACATGGTTTATCAGTTTAACAGCTGATCTACCTCTGTGCCATTATATGAATGCTTGTGAACATCTCTTTTCAAAGGGCTGACTTCTAACAAGGTCATGCCTTTCCTTGACTAGTTGTTTTCAAAAGGTGGTCTCCAGATGTTCATAGAGATTCACATTTTCTTTTCAAAAAGGTAATGAATGTCGTTTTTCCAAAAATAAATGTCAGAACAAATCCTTCTTTAGTTTTCTGGAATTTTCCAGGCCTTCGCATTTCTTAAGTGTACATAGCTCTCATCGTCCCCATTTCATTCTTAGAACAAACTTATGAAGTAGGTCAGACTGAGAGAGCGTGAGGCAGGTAGGTGAAAAGTCACCCATTGAGCTCCCTGATTCACTAGATCTCCCGCGTTTCAGTCCAACAATCTAACTGTTGCATCATATGGCCTTGCTGCCTGGCAACCAGGCACACTATCTCTGTCACAGCTGGCAGTCAAAAGTCGCCATCACACACAGAGCCCGTTTGAATCCCCATACCTCCTCCTTAGCAGGAACTGTCTCTTTCTTGCTCTCCTCAATGGCCATCTGGAGTCGTAGGTCATCCCCACGCCGGATTCGCTCCTCCTGCAATGGAACCATGAGTGGGACAGTGGCATCAATAACTGGGAGAGGATAATGGCAGCTGGTTACTCACCTTTAGCAGAGGGAGGCAAAGGAACAGTTGACATGGTACAGCAGTAATTAGGCCATGGGCCAGATGAGATTTCAAGCAGCTGACATTACTTTTCATTACTTTACATTACATAACTTGTACATGAAATCTTACATTCCTGTTGATACTCCAGACAGCCAAGAACCAGCCAAGTGTTGTTCTGTCTATGAAATAGTTCCTTGCCTCACAGTAGAATGCTAAAGTCCTCATGCTTTAAATCGATCAACCCCCTCCCCCATTAAGTCTGTCCCAAAATACAAAATCCCACCTATACCTTGTCTTTATGTGATCCGCCCCATTTCATCTAAGCACTTTGATTCCAACCCCGTTGACTAACTTCTGCCTTCCAGTTTTTGGGTTTTTCTTTCATCTCTTACCTTCCTGGACCCACTATCATTCAGAAGTCTTCCTTCCCCCCCCCCCCCCCCCCCGAATTAGAATTTGCTTACTGCTATCCATTCTCAGCTTCAGATAAACACTGTACTCCTGCCCAGTAAGGAGCCAAGAGCCTTGCTCTGAGTTCTGGCTTTCTCATTCCAGCTGATACTTCCTCACTCTCCCCTCCACCTTTGCACATTTCTCCTTTGGTACATCACTTTAGTTCCGCTGGAAATGCATGAAGACGGCTCAGCAGGCCACGGCTTACAGACACAGCAGGCTCAGGACCCACGTACTGACCTGTCCTACCTCCAGGGAAGGTATCTTAGGAAATCTTGATTCTACAGCGGACAATTAAAGAGGTCTAAAAGTCAAAATGGAGACATGGCACCACCGTTGTAATCATTCTGCTTGGGACAGGTTGTGGAGAGATAGAGAACGCTGAGTTAGTGGAAAAAAGGTGTGAGGCTGGGGCCTGCTTGGGGAAAGTGGTTTAGTTGATTATTTTTGGGAGGAGCTGCTGTGAGGGAGGTGGGGTGCGTGGTTAAGAGTCTAACCTTGTCATGTTCCTCTTTGCTCAAGCTAAGGGCTAGCTGGAGCTGTAGGTCTTCGTCGGCCACTGCAGGGGGCTGGGGGGGGAAGAAACACAACATAAGAGGCATGGAATGAAGCTTGATGCAGCAGAGGTAGAAAAGGAGGAAGGAAGAAAAGGAAGGAAGGAAGGAAGGAAGGAAGGAAGGAAGGAAGGAAGGAAGGAAGGAAGGAAGGAAGGAAGGAAGAGATGAATGGACTACACATACTTCCATTTGACACTGCCATTGCCACACTTGGTTGCAAAAATCATTTCCAATTAACCTTAGCTGCTTGAATTCTCTGGGTGGATCTATATTGCCATATAAAGCAGTTTCAGAATTCAGATTAAACTGCATTGAACTGGATTATATGACTTTACACTGCCATATAATTCAGTTTAGTATAATGATTCTGCATTCTGATACTACATTATATGTCAGAGTAGATCCAGCCTCAGTCTATACAGTTTGTTTATTTATTTATTTGGGGTGCTTCTACCCTGCCCTTTTCAACCCCCTAGGGGGGGACTCAGGGCGACTTACAAAAGGCACAATTCGATGCCCAACAATTCACAAAATACAATATACAAATTACAATTAACGTCAACAGTTATAACTAGTTAAAACAATCAAATCAATACAATAGCAACAATAAAATCATCTTGTGRTCAATGTTCGCCAATTCATAAATCCATAATCCATTCAGCATTGTCAATGTCCTTTCCTACTCTGGTCGTCATTGTCTTTTATCCATCTGCCAGCTTACCCGAAGGCCTGGTCCCATATCCAGGTTTTTAACTTCCTTCTGAAAGAGAGAAGGGATGTTGATGACCTAATTTCCCCGGGGAGTGCATTCCACAGGCGAGGGGCCACCACCRAGAAGGCCCTGTCCCTTGTCCCCACCAGTCTCACTTGTGACAAAGGTGGGGYTGAGAGCAGGGCCTCCCCAGAAGATCTTAAACTCCGAGGTTGGGACGTAGAAGGAGATATGTTCGGACAGGTACGCTGGGCCGGAGCTGTAAAGGGTTTTGCAGGTCAAAACCAGCACTTTGAATTGTGCTCGGAACTGGATCGGCAGCCAGTGGAGCTGACATAGCAGGGTGGTGGTATGCTCCCTGTATGACGCTCCAGTGAGTAATCTAGCCGCCGCCCGTTGGACTAATTGAAGTTTCCAAACAGTCTTCAAAGGCAACCCCACGTAGAGTGCGTAGCAGTAATCTATTCAGGATGTAACAAGAGAGTGGACCACCGTGGCCAGATCCGACTTCCCAAGGTACGGGCGCAGCTGGCGCACAAGTTTTAATTGTGCAAAAGCTCTCCCAGCCACTGCTGAGACCTGGGGTTCCAGGCTCAGCGATGAGTCCAGGATCACTCCCAAGCTGCGAACCTGCGTCTTCAGGGGGAGTGTAACCCCGTCTAACACAGGCTGTAACCCTATGCCCTGTTTGGTCTTACGACTGACCAGTAGGACCTCTGTCTTGTCTGGATTCAGTTTCAATTTGTTAGCTCTCATCCACTCTGACACAGCGGCCAAGCACTGGTTCAAGGTCTGGACAGCCTCCTTGGTAACAGATGAGAAGGAGTGACAGATTTGGACATCATCTGCGTAGAGATAACACCTCAATCCGAAACTCCGGATGATCTCTCCCAGCAGCTTCATGTAGATGTTAAACAACATCCGGGACAGAATTGATCCCTGTGGGACCCCACACGACAATGGTTGTAGGGTCGAACAGGTGTCACCCAGTAACATCTTCTGGGACCGTCCCTCAAGAAAGGACCGGAGCCACTGCAAAGCAGTACCCCCAAGTCCCATGTCCTCAAGGTGTCCCAGAAGGATACCGTGGTCAACAGTATCGAAGGCTGCTGAGAGGTCCAGCAGAACTAACAGGGACACACTCCCCCTGTCAAGCTCCCAGCGAAGATCATCTACCAAGGCGACCAAGGCTGTCTCAGTTCCATGTCCCGGCCTAAAGCCAGACTGTGCCGGATCTAGATAATCAGTGTCTACCAGAAATCCCTGGAGTTGTGTTGCCACCACACGTTCACGACTTTGCCCAAATAGGGGAGATTGGAAACTGGCTGATAGTTGTCGAATTGAGTGGGGTCCAGTGATGGCTTTTTCAACAGCGCTTTTATAACAGCTTGTTTTAAGCTCGCTGGAAACTTTCCTTCCTTTAAGGAGGAAGGGACTGGCACAAACATTTCCTGAAAACTAGGATTACAGCTCCAAGAATCCCTTAGCAAAGCAGCAATGATGAGTAGAGGATTTTAGGAATCGTGGTCCCATCTTTTTCCTCTAGGCCAGTTGTTTCCAACCTGTGAGTCCCCAGGTTTTTTGGCCCACAACTCCCAGAAATCTCAGCCAGTTTACCAGCTGTTAGGATTTCTGAGAGTTGGATGGCCAAAACATTTGGGGACCCACAGGTTGAGAACTACTGCTCTAGGCCATCTAGTTTTCGAAGACAGTACTCACAAATATACACTCAACCCATTCCTTAGCTGTTATCTCCATAAGCTGTTGAACACGAACGAAAGGAACCTGCACTAGGTTCTTGGCTTCAGAAACAAGGTGCCTGACTGATAAAACAAAGGGTGAGAAACCGATTGCCCTCCAAGACTGTTTTGGATTCCATTTCCCATCGCCCCTCACTGAGCTGATAGGGGCTGCAGTTCAACAACATTCAGAAGGTCACAGGTTTCCTGTTTCTGATGTATAGGGGCAAATTATATGTCAGCTGCATTAAGATCACTCTGACCAAAAGATCATGAGTTCGAAGCCAGCCTGGGCTGGAGTGGGCTTCCAACCAATTGTGTAGCCTGTTGTAAACTTTTGCAACCCGAAAGACAGTTGCATCTGTCAAGTAGGAAAATTAGGTACCACCTTGTGCGGGGAGGCTAAATTAACTAATTTACAAGGCCATGGGAAAGACTCCAGCAAAGCACTCCAGCAAAAGCATGCGGGGAATGTGGAAGTACTTCATTAGTGTCGCAGATGGACGATGAAAGCGACAGCTCCCCTGGCGGTCAGAAAAAGTTAAATAGCCTCTGTGTATGTCTGTATACGTTGTATGTCAAATTGGCATTGAATGTTTGCCATATATGTGTACACTGTAATCCGCCCCGAGTCCCCTGCGGAGTGAGAAGGGCGGAATATAAATACTGTAAATAAATAAATAAATAAATAAATCCTTGGGAGGACATGTTATATTGGCTTCCTATCATTGTGCAAGGATAGGATATGACATCCAAAATGGCCAACTCTGGATTCAGGGAAGCCAAATTTTAAAAACCTGATCAAACACGATGCCTCCACAGAAACTTAGGTGATGTTCTCTCAGAATTTTAACCCAGCTAAACTCATATGGCTGTTGTCTAGAATTGCCAATCTTGGGTTTCCTGCACAAGGGTTTGGAGGCAATGATTAATTGCACTGTTCCTACAAAGAGTGAGAATTCTTGTACTATCCTGGCTTCTTAAAAGTAGGATTTCCCTCTGAAGTTGAGGAAAGGATCAACTATTCCTCAGACCCTTGACTGACACAGAGGTCTAGGAACAGCATAAAGGAGAACACTCCTGTCACAGGAGAATAGGGATGAAGCATTCTGAACATCTTCTGTGTCTAGGAGAGAAACTGAAGCCTCTGCATAGAAATGCAACTCTCTACCCTCAATAAGGTTTTTTTATTTAGATGGGCAAGTTAGTAACTTTGAGGGGCTTATTTACAAACAGATTACGGTTTGTAAGTAGCAGTTTCACCACAAATGGTTCAACTGGGAGAATATGCAATTCTTTGCATGCTTTCAGAAGGATGAGCATGTTAGGAAAGAAAATTGTTTGTGCCAAATTTGCCCCTTTTCTCTCCATAAATAAATATACACCAAAACCTAGATCAGCTCTCCTGATTTTAGCCAAAACTTTATCAATCTCAGACCTTGAACATTTTGGAGTACAACTGCTACTCTCTTCCAATCAGCCAAGCTAACAGCCAAGCTAGATACAAGTTAAGAGTTGCCCCCCTCCCAAAAAAGCAAAAAAAATAAAAAAAAATAAAAAAAGAAACTTGTAGTCCAAACGGGAACTTTTCCAACATCTGGTGGATCTTACTGCTTTACCTTCTGAGTTATGAATGGGGTGGAGTGGGAAGACATGTGGCATGAAGGAAAAGAAGGGAAGTCAAAATAAAGAGCTAAAAAAGGGGCAAACACAACTTGACAAAAAGGTGGGAAGGAGGGAGGTGAAACAAACATAATCAACCTGCTGAGGAGGAGCCATGAGGGGAGAAGGGGAGGGATGAGGTGACAAAACAGTTAGCACTGGGAAGTGGGGTTTAAAGGCCTGACAGACTGCAGCATGTGTAGCGAAAATGTCTGGGAACAGTCAACACAGTAGCATCCCTGAAGCTCAGTGGCCGTGGAAGTGATCAGCGCCTGGATGGGCGACAACCTTTGTTTCCCCTAAAGGAAGAGCAGGCCTAAGTAAAAAACAACAATTAATAATAATGAACAGCATGTGGGAGTGAAGAAAAGCCAAGTGCCAGGTCTGATGGCTCAGAGAGATCACTTCTGCCAAAGCCTGGCTGTTTCGTGAGGGAGTCAGGCAAACTGGAACACAGTGGTCACCAAAGAATCCCGGGTGCCCAGGGAAAGGTTTCTACAGAGATTGGGGGATTGTAACATACAACAGAGAAAAGGTAGGTAAAACCTGGGGTTTTGAGGAGACAGGATCTATTCATGGGAACCCTGTGACAGAAGATGGAAGCAATCCCAATCTCTCCCTCTAGCTGGGGATGGTGCTGAGGGAACAAAGTGAAAATTTGGATGAAAAATTCCAATAGAAAAGGTACTTCATGTCGGAAAACGTCAGTATAAAACACAACACTGTTTTGTCTCTCTTTCTTTTTGCCTTGTGTTTGTCTCAAGCTCTGAGGGAGAAAAACACAATTGTTTTAAGTTCTTAATATTCTTCTACACAAGATGCAAACCAGTGGAAGATCATGGTTCCCAAGTTACCCATCAGTCTCTGCTCTCCACAAAGCTTGAGAAGAGCTTGCGGCTAGCAAGTCAGCTACAAGTTGTTGTTATTATTATCTTTGAAGGCAGCCTCCTGCCACACAATATATTTCAGGTGTTTTAGAGACTGTTTTAGAAGACAACCTGCTTTGCTGATGGTTACAATTGTCTCCAAAACTGTCAATTTTGTTGCCACACCATTGGTATTTGATAGTGGAGTAGCAACACAACAAGGATCTTTTTTCAACAAAGCAAGATATGCAATCGTTATTGGAATCACAGTTTACTATTACCAACAGTTCTGTACCATCAGTAATTCAGATTTTGTACAAGAAATCTAGCAGTTGTTTTTTTTTGTAAATGTACTAGCTCCCAGAGCAACTATAATTACAGCATGACCCCTGTATTCACGGGGGTGCATTTCTGGATTTCATGTAGATATGCAAAACTGTGAATAATAGCAAACCCTATTGAAATAAACAACTTCTGGCCTAATAATGCCATAGAGTTATGCTGGAGGACCTAGAAGATGCCTAGGGAGGACATATTTTGTCAAATGTTGATAAATAAAATCATGGATATCAATCTGTGTATACAGGTGTCATACTGTGCATTATCTTTGTTGTTGTTATTGCATCCAATATTATTGCTCTATCTTTTTCAGAAAACCAGGTTTCAAGGCAGATTACATAAAAAGTAATTATTATTTCACTGCTGCATCACTGAATTTTGGCAATGGGATTTGAGGCAGTGCACAGCTGCTGGTGGGGCCAATGTAGCACTCACTCCAAATGCTGTTCAGTGCTGATTGAAACAGCTTCTAGCTTGGTTGCATTGTCAGTTTATACTTTTGCCTGGGAGCAGGCACACATCACTACTTTGCACATCTTCAAACTTCCACAATTTCCCAAAATCCCTTGCCACCCGCATAGCCGAAGCGCCTCCAGTGACAGATTTACCTTGGCGCTTACCTGCTCCGCTTCCTCTTTGCTCATGGCCAGCGCCAGCTGTAGCTGCAGTTCTTCTTCTCCGCTACTCTGAGGCCAAGCCTGCTCCGCTTCCACAGGGGCATTTGCCAAAGAGGAGGAAGCTGAAGAAGCTGAAAAATAGGATGGTGTGAAGAAGAAAGGATTAGACACCACCAATATGGAAGGCGGAAAAGAAGGAGTCCTCTGTGCAAGTACTTTCCACTGCCTTGGAGAGAAGAAACACAAGCAGAGCAGAGTTTGGAAAACCTATGTTCGAACACAATCTATTATATCAAGCTGATGATAGTAGGAATCTATCACTAGACTGCAGGAGCCATTTACACTTGATTGGCAAGTACTCCTTTAGTACAGACAGAAATGCTAGTACAGACAGAAATGCTCCCAGAGCAGTTTACAGGGTCAAGAATCGGTGGAGGTGACAGTCCTTATAATCATACTTGTGATTTTTAAAAAAAAACACAACACAAAAGGAAAATGAGATAGGGAGGGAAGAGAAACACAAGAAAATTCAGGCACCTTGTTAAGGCTTTGAGATTTCTCAGCTGGAATGGCTGCTATGGATGACAGCTGAGGAGAGGCAAATCTGGCTTCTTAGGAAAAGTAACTGTGTCCTATTCTTTTTCTCTCCTGCTTTAACAATTTGTTGGAATGGCTGCTGGATTTCTTCTGAATCCCAACCAGTAAACAACAGCCAAATTAACAAAACCAAAAACAAACCCCTTGTACAGCTGTACTAGTGCCAACTCTTCATCATTTAGCCCGAACGCTTTGCCAATTGGCTGAGCCTTAAAACCAAACCTTTGCTCAGTCTACTGGCCAGTTTAAGAGCTTTCTGTTCAAACAGTTGACCTGTCCAGCAGATGGTGCATCACAGTACTCTGACTACAGATCCTCCAGGCAGTGTTGGGTTCAAATTTGGTGCACCCAAGTGATGAATAAGCATAGCAAGGAAAAAGATGACCACTGGTTTGTCTGGATCACACAGAGGGAATCTGCTGGTTGAAGATCCAGAACAAAGCCTCCCAAACTCTGGCAGAATTGTTTGGGTGAGGTAGTGGCCAGCGTGGAGGGGGATGTGGAGTGGAAAAAAGAGAGTGGCCTAGTCAGTGCGCCATGACCTGAATACCAGCCTCTTCCTCCTCCCCTCCACAAAACCCTAGACGGACTGGCACCAACTGTCGCCCTTCATTAACTCAGGGATGCATGTAACTGCGCAAGCAGTGTCATCAGGAGGAGGAACTCAGCTATTGCAGAGATGGGGTGAAAGGAGAACAGTGGCGTTCTTTCCCTAAATACAACCACCACAACATTTTGTCTTTGAGAAGGTTGAATCAGTGAAGAGAAATTCACCATAAAGAAGGGAGTACCCGAAAATTCTTTCTCTCTAAACATGTTTCATCTAAGAGGCAGTTAAAGGGGAGCTGTTGCCCGTCCTCCCACACTTCCAAAGCTTGGAGGAAGTTACCCTACTGCCTGACTGCATTTCAGATAGCATCGCTTTTACTGTGATTCAATGGCTGTGTAGAAGAGGGGACTTGAGCAGATGTTGTATGTTACCTGGTTTAGTGACAGGCCACATCTGCTGAACTTCCCTCTTATTTGTTGTAGTTAGCTGTCATTAAATCTACTTCGACTTGTAGTGATCTCATGAATGAGAGGCCTCCAAGTTATCCTACAGGGTGAGGCAGCATAACTTCCTTTTTTCAAAACTTAATAAAACCCATTGTATGAATCAGATTTTTTTTTATAATGTAGGCACATACCTAAAGTTTTGTTTTACATAGTTTTGAAGATCAAATTAGGTAGGTGACGTCCCCCATTCTCCATTCTCCGATTTCTGGTGTTTGTCATGACTCTTGCCAGCATAGCAGGCGTTATGTTGGCAATTTCTTCCTGGATGTTGGCCTTCAAATCTTGTAGGGTCCTTGGACGGTTCACATAAACACGGAATTTCAAAAAACCCCATAGAAAAAAATCGCAAGGGGCCAAATCTGGAGAGCGGGCCGGCCACTCCAAATCCGCTCGAAAAGTAGGCATCAATGGCAAAAGCACGCTCCTCACTGTTCCAACACATGATGGCGACTGAACTGTGTCAGGACAAAACTTTATACTCCTGCCTCTCGAACGAGACCACTAGCGCTCCACTACGTCTTCAACTGACTGAATGGCACACATTTTAAAAAAGGAAGTTATGCTGCCTCACCCTATGTAAACAACAACCCCAATCAAGTCTTACAGACTCAAAGCAAGTGTGACTTCCCTAATTGGATCTATCCATCTGGAATGAAGTCTTTCTCTTTTCCTACTGCCTTCCATCTTACCAAATACTATTTTCTTTTCTAGTGAGTCATGTCTTCTGATGATATGGCCAACATACAGCCTTAGTCAAGCCATATCATCAGAAGACATGACTCACTAGGGAGAGTTCAGGGATTCATTTGTTCTAGAAGCCTTTTTTGGTCTTTTTAGTAGTCCGTGGTATCAGTAGAACTCTTCTTCAGCAGCACTTTTCTATATGCTTATTAAAGGCATAGGGGCACTATCCCATTTTTACTCTGGCAACCCTAGACCGGAATCAGTGCCCATACAGCCTAGTATTATTTATTCAAATTGGCAGTGATTCTGGCCAAGTTGTCAACAAGAGAGTCTTTCCCATCACCTGTTTCTTGGTCATTTCAACTAGAGATTTTGGGAAGTGACTCTGTACTCTTCTGCACAACAAATGTTGATTTGCTACACGTTCATCCCTTTCACTCACAGCATTAACACTCTGGATCACCTTCCTATTTGACGTCACATAGGGCCCTACCACACAGCCATATAACCCAGAATATCAAGGCAGGAAATCTCACAATATCTACTTTGAACTGGAATATATGGCAGTGAGGACTCAGATAACCCAGTTCAAAGCAGATATTGTGGGATTTCCTGCCTTGATATTCTGGGTTACATAGGGCCCATAGTCTCAGATTGACAGCCTGCTTCAGTTCCCCACTCCCATCTCTATCACTGTAGGGATCAAGGTTCTAGAGTTTAGATGTCTTAAAAATTAAGACCTCAGGGCATGTATTTTTGTATACATTAATTTATTGCATTTCAATGGATGTGAGTTTCCATCTGCCAAAGGTATTTCTCCAGAAGATGGAATGGCATTTTATGGTGGAAATTCTGTTCATGATATGCATGTGTATAAGTTTAGCTTACACAAAAAAATTTCTTTTGGGGGGTCCAAAACTCCCTCATCACACAACTATCAAGCCATTTTGCTGCTTTCTGGTGAGAAAGGGAGATAGTGGGGGGATTCAACCATTGTAGCTCTGAGGGGAAGAGACGGAAGGAAAAATATTCTCTATGATTGCACTCCTATTTGATTCCCTCTCAAGCTGAATTACCTCCCTGTTATCTCTACTTTCCACTTATAGGCAGCAGTTGCCTATCAGGGTTTTGACAACAGAAGGAGACAGGAGATTTTAATGAGAGAACAAGGGGGTAGAGGATCTCCCCTCGCAATCCACCCAATAAAACAATGTATGTGGTGAGCTGAATGAGCAGAGTGTTTTGTTCTCACCTGTTTGCTATGGGGCCAAAAGCAGAGCTTCTAAACAAAATTAGGGTAAGATTGAAAAATAAGAACCAAATTACAAATTTACAAAGAATAGACCATAATCGACCTTAGTGGTTGGAGGGCTGGAAATGTTCCCACCTGCTCTTTTCTATCACATTCCTCTACTGCAATTCTTCATATTTTTGCTGAGCATCTTACAATAGGGAGCAGAAACACCTCCCATTTCCTTATCTTGACCTAACCCGCCAGAAACTCTGCAAACAACCGTAGTGGAATTTGATCCAGGGGTTATCAGAGTTGGAAAGGAGCAGCCACTGATCCAGCCAACCAGTAATTCAGCCTCAGAGCCTGGTAAGTTGCCAAGCTTAAGAGGGAAGAGATGAGCTTCCAGAAGCAGCTGCATTGGTTTCTAGAAGGCAGCTATACCCAGAGATTCAGCAGGTATACATTTCAGGAGAAAGGACAGGAACAATGTTGAGACAGACATCAAACACCTTCATATAACAGCTTCACAGAGCTACCCAAATCAGGCAAGGTAGTTGCAGGATATTGCCAGCAACGGCAAAGGAGTTCCACTGGAGACAAGAGGTAGTTTGCAGTTTTTCAAACAGCCAGATAACCCTACCTGTTTCACTTTACACAACCAGAAGTTAATCCTTTGCCTATTATCATCTAATCTCCACTTCAGGAGTAGACAATCTGGATCCCTCAGGATGCTTTTGACTACAATCCCCCATCAGTCCCAGCCACTATGGTTATCAGAAATCATGAAAGCTGGGAGGCACCAGGCCATCTATTCCTGCTCTACAGGAAATACTAATTCTTCTTTGGTAGGGACAAGTTTTTTTTTTACTGTTAGGAGTCTAGAGGCCAAAGCAATTTTGTTTTCTCATATACTGTGAGGTTAAACAACGAAGTATTACATTTATATCACACTTCTCTAGAGATTGGGCACATATGATTACCAGCTTGTCTCTCATTCAGCTTTTAACTAAATATCTCTTTCTTTAGCCAAACAGTTCCAGTATGTGCCTTCAGGCTATACACTGGGGGTCTCGTATCATTCAGCAATAAATCCTTTCTTAAAAGTACATGCTCAGATGGCAGGAAGGGAGAAGAGAGGCGGCAGAACAACCATATTTTCCTCAACAATTCCTATAAGTGGCAGACTGGCTCCTTGTCTTTCTGGTGTTGAGAGAAAGGTGGCAATGAAAACCCACTGATTTCTCAGCTTTTTTAAGAAACAAAACAATGAGCAAAAACCTGTAATTGAAACTACTTCAAGGAACGGGACTGGTCTACAGATCACCATCTAGGAGGAGTCAAGGCCCTTCCAGACAGGCCCTATATCCCAGGATCTGATCCCAGGTTTTCTGCTTTACACTGGATTATATGAGTCCACACTGCTAGATAATCCGGGATAAACAGAAAACCTGAGATCAAATCCTGGGATATAGGGCCTGTCTGGAAGGGCCCTCAGAAAATCTTTTCCAGGCTTGATTTAGACTCTAGCTCTAAGAGTGCAGAATAAGAGCAGGATCTAAGCCCAAAGATAGGCTTGCAAAGAGTTATTGGCCCAAATAATTTTGTAGTAGACTGGATATTTGAACTCCCAGGCCTAATCTAGCACTATACCACACCAATATCACAGAGAGAAAGAGCCACTGATCTGGACAACATGTTGGCTAAACTGAGATCAATATAGATCACTCACCAGTTGCAGTCTGGGCCAGCTTCTCCTTTGTTTTTAGAGCATGGGCTCGTTCCTCTTTAAGTCGTTCATCATCTTTGAGAAGGGCCACTAGCTGCTTGGCCTTCTCCCGCACATTGACCCCTTGGTCCTTTCCATCCCGATCAACATATTGGAAATCCTTTAGTGTCTGGATGGCATAAATGTTTTCCTTGCATTGCTGAGCCACTCGCTCTGAGCCTGTCTTGATTAGGTATTCCATCAGTGTCATGGCCTGGAAGACAAGTAGAGAAGGGGCTCATTATCCACAGACAAGAGAGGGTGAGGACCAAATCTCCAAGGTTGCTGTTGTATGAATAAAACCATCCCTGGAGCTGCATGTAACCCATGCCCCAGACTTCACCCACACCTATTTTAAACCATTTAATGCAAGACACAACATTGTATAATAGCAAAGTGCTGAACTAGGACTGCAGAGAGCCACATTCAGATATCCATTCATCTATGAGGTTCATTAAGTGACCTAAGGCCTGTTAGCATACTTCTTAGCCTAATCTATCTGATGCTTGAAGTCAGAGTATGGAAAACAATTGGCTGAGAAATTCTGGGAGCTGTAGTCTATAAAGTAATTTTGCTAGATTCTGCCTGATTTCACTGTTGGAAAGAAAGAGCAAAAAATGGAGTAAGAATACCCAAGTCAGAAGGGTTCCAACTTTTTTTCAACTCAGAATATTCTCAAGATTAATGGTCAACAGAACAAAACCTCCAGCTTTCCCTCGAAATCTGCCCCACTTCCAAATGGGCAATTGTTATGCAATTTAAATAATATGGTACTGTAAAAAAGCCAAGAGCCCTAGATTAACTTAAAAGATATCCAGTAACGTGCATGCGGACTATTTCTTTATTTATATCTCCTCATTAATCATAGTCCTGTTCTATTGACCCAAGTTGGGCCAAAACTGACAAACAACTACTAGTTCCAGACATAGTGTTTCTTTATAAAATGTGGCAAACCAGCAGAGACTGAAAAGGTTATTTTCAGATTACAACCTCCAGGTTTGCTCAGTCAGAATGGCCATTGGCCATGCTGGCTAGGAGAACCGAGGAGCTAAGCCTATATGTTTTGTTCCACCGTAGATCCTAGCAGGGTCTGCTAAACCCAAATCCCTAAGGTTTTGCTCTATCCTAAGTAATGACAGGGGTCTTCTTTCAAGAGCAGAGAATCCAACAGTATAGAGTAGCGGTTTATGGCCCCCCCTTACCTTATAGACATGACGCCAATTCTTGCCATGGTCATTGAGGCGTTTCCAGATCATGCTCATGATTTCAGAGAAGGCCACCACATTGTAAGTGAGGTCAGCAATTTCGGACATGAGGGAGCTGGAGGGACCCCATGGATCGTTCGATGTGGCCTCTCGCACCTTGATCTCTGCTTCAGAGTAATTGTGGACAATGTTCTTCATCTGACGGCGCAGCGAAGAGGTCGACATGGTGGCGGCAGCAGTTGGAGCAGGCAGTGGGGAAAGCAGCCTGGCTCTCCTCCACCTGCCACAAGCTTCCTGGTGACACCTTTGGAGTGTGGTTGGCTAATGGGTCAGCACACTGCCCAGATCACAAAAAATCCAAAAGACCCTTTAAGGCAACGAGTCCCCTCTATCCAGGCAGAAAAGGCCCCAGAGCTTGCTTCTTGTGGCCCTCACAGCTGCTCCTGTAACATGCCACTGCTCTCTTTTAGGGTGCCACACTTCCCTTCCGTGGCCACCTCAGCATGGTAGCCATTTTGAGACACACCTGAAAAAGACACAAGGGCAAATGTTTTCACTCAAGAATGAAGAACTTTTCCCAGACCAAGTGATGAATTCAACTGGAGAGAAAAATTTTAAAGGCCACATTCCAGTGGTGGGTGGAAGCAAGAACATCAACATATTTTAATTGACTAATTTAAAATAGTTATACCCTGCCCTATACCACAGAATCTCAGGCTAGTGGAGAAGTAAAATCAACTTGAGTAAATTAAGACAATCTAAAACACAAAAATAGTTTAAGCAAATGAACAGATGGAAAACAACTTAGAAAGGTTAACAAAGCTTTCAAATAATAGGTACAAACACCTTGAAGTTAAACAGCTAGGCCCTAAAGAGCTATGTATTTATTTACAAGATCCAGTGTACTGTTGTGGTTTGAGTAATGGACGAGGGACTTTGAGAATCTGGGTTTGAATCCCCATTCAACCACAGAAACCCACTGGGTGGCCCTGGGTAAGTCAGATTATCTCAGTCTCTGTTTAAGACAAAGCCAAACCCCTTCTGAACAAACTGTGCCAAAATAACACAGTGACAGGGTCAGCAAAGAATTGGCATAGAGTCACCATAAATCAGAAATTACAAGAAGATATGCAGTGTATTTTTACTTGGTGTTCAAATGAAGCCAGCATTGGTACCAAACCAGCCTCTATGGGGCCGGCATTCCATAACGGGGTGCCACAACTGAGAAGGGCCACTCCAAAATCCTCTCACAATGTACTGACTCAATTCGTGGGATCTAGACTAGGGCTCCTTTAGGAGATAGAGCAGACATATATAAGGAGAAGTACAGTAGAGTCTTGCTTATTCAACATAAACAAGCTGCAGAACATTCGATAAGCGAAAATGTTGGATAATAATAATAATAACAACAACTTTATTTTTATACCCCGCCAACCATCTAGGGCACTTGGGGTGGCTTACAAGGGACACGCCCAAGATTACAATTAAAACACACATGTAAAACACTTTAACCAATTAAAACATCAGATAAAACAAATAATAACACAATTAAAAGCAATATAAAAACAATACGGCTAAAAAACATGATAAGAAGGGGTTAAGGGAAAGCCTATTAAACGTCAAATTACGTTATGATTTTACAAATTAAGCACCAAAACATCATGTTTTACAACAGAAAAAGCAGTTCAATACATGGTAAAGTTATGCAGTAATTACTGTATTTATGAATTTAGCACCAAAAGATTGCAATGTATTGAAACAGCTGTGGATTTGGACGGGAGGCAGACTGCATTGGACAATACAGAACATTGGATGAATGAAGGCTGGATAAGCAAGACTCTACTGTATGTTAATGTAATGGCTCTTATTACCAGTAACTAAGGAGAGGTATTTAAACCTTTCAAAATGGGGAAACTATTCATCTGTGAAAAGGAGTGTCCTCTGGAGAAGCCCAGTGACTGACTGTGGTTTAATCTGACCTAAGTCGAAATGTCACCCTTTTCCCCACAAGTGGTTGAAACGGATGTGAAATGGATTGCAATGTCCCATTTTGAACCCAAGAATTAGGCCACAGAACTTCCTTTTCAATTGGCTTGCCTCCAGGACAAACCGGGGGGGGGGGGGGGGGGGGGGGGGGATTGCTCATGCTTCCTTAAAGAAGGCCACATTCAAGCTCAATGGTGCTGACAGTAAAATGCTCTTCTTCAAACTTACCTTAAGCTCTTTGGCCAGGTGGAACTGAACTCTCGGTGACTGACCTCAATGAAGTCTCATATGAACTGGGTGACCTGCCAGTTCACACCTTTTCTTTCAAAGAACTGGGAGGAAGGCAATGACTTCTGTAGGACATTCAAGTCAGGACTACCCTCAAACCAACTCAGTTCTTTCTAGACCATATACTCACTTAACCCTATTGTTATGGTATCCAAAGTCCCTCAAACTTAAAAAAGTGCAGTGTTTCAACAACAAAGGATCCCCCAGGAAGCAATCAGCCAGGCTTAGAAGCTGCAAGGCCATTAAAGGCTAATAAAGGTGGCCAATTGCAACATTTACACTTGCCTCAAGCAGAATAGAGTACTTCTTTATTTATTTACAGTATTTATATTCCACCCTTCTCACCCCGCAGGGGACTCTGGGCGGATTATAATGTACACATCCATCGTAAACATTCAATGCCATAGACACACAACATATATAGACAGACACAGAGGCAATTTAACATTCCAGCTTTTTCTTGAGGGTATTCTGGAGCTGCCACTTCACTGACCATTTGTGACACTGATGAAGTACTTCCTCATTCTTTGCATGCTTGCTGAAGATTTTTATGGCCTCATAAATTAGTTAAATTTGCCTCCCCGCATAAGCGGTACCTCAATTTCCTACTTGACAGATGCAACTGTCTTTCGGGCTGCAAAGGTTGACAGCAAGCTACACAAATTGGTCCGATGACCCGGGCTGGCTTCGAACTCATGACTTTTCTCCCACCGTGGACATTCCACAGATATATAAACCTCACTTGCCTAATTTCCAACAGACTTCACAATCTCTGAGGATGCCTGCCACAGATGTGGGTGAAACATCAAGAGAGAATGCTTCTGGAATATTGCCATACAACCTGGAGAACTCAAAACAAGCCAACATTTCATTTTTTTTCATATCAAAAAGGGACTGAAAACATTCTTTAGCAATATCCTGGCTAAAATGGCTTTCAGAAGCTATGTGATTTCTGGTCACCATTATGGGTGAGATACAACCATTAAGGGCAGCATTTCCCTTGATGTGGATTGCAGGGAATGTAGGAAAACTGGCTACACTGCAGTTATCCACCTTTTTGCTGCATAATGCCCACATGCTCAACAAACCTCTTAGGGTTAGAGCCTTTAAAAAGTAACAGAACAGGAGCAGAGATACTCCGGACACTAAATTCTACTGCTGTGCAGTACAGTCGCCGATTTGCCATTGTGTTCTTTTAAGTCACTTCCGACTTATGGGGACCCTAAGGGGTTTTCTGAGGCGAAGAGTACACGGCTTGCTCAAGGCACTCAGTGTTTTCATGGCCAAGCAGGAATTCAAAACCTGTTCTTCAGAGTTGTAGTCCAACACTCAAACCATGATGCCCACTCCAATTTTCAGTTTTAAAAAAGGCCCTTCTGGTTCAGTCCTTCCAAAATAGCCAAAGAGATGTCCTAAGGAAACCATCCACTCCTCATCTGTGTCCTCCAAATGCACTGAATGTGACTTCTATGAAGTTGTAGACAGCTATGCGAACATTGTAGTTGGAATTATGTTGGAGGATGACTGCCCAGGGGTTACACACACACACACAGAGAGAGCCATTCGTTCCTTTCCTAGTTACAATGGTGTCTAAACTGGGTAGCAAATACAGGGAAAACGTCAGGAGCAACCAGAACCAGACTTGTCAATTCCTCTTCCCCTCCCCACCAGCCCTGTTTGATCTCCATCCAATGGCACATAGCATGCCTCCCTGCCAAGCTGCTGTGGCCCGGTCACCTTCATGCTCAGAACAGTAACTGAGGTTTAAGGTGTTGGTTTTGGCAGCACTCACCAGCAGCCGGCTCCAGGATCAAAACCAATGTTTCCCATGAGTATTTGTTTTCAATTTGTAGCTCACCCTTCCCCCAAAGAACTCAGGGGAGCATATGCAGCTCCTTCTTGGCATCTTCACAACTAGACTATGAAATAGGACAAAACCTGGGATTTGGAGTCACGAATCAGTAGCCATTCTGAGTAAAGTCAGAGGAAATATACTGACTTTGGCTTCAAAACAATATATATTATACACACACACACACACACATATAATATCATTTTATATTTATATTTTATGCTTAATCAAATGAAATAAAGTTTATGCTCTTCAATCTAAGCAGTCTGACAATCCACATAGTGGTAGTAGTATGCCTCGTGCTACCATTTTACACATAATAATTTTTTATTACTAATTAATACACATTTCATAGAATTATAGAATTATAGAATTGGAAGAGACCTCGTGGGCCATCCTGTTCAACCCCCTGCCAAGAAGCAGGAAAATCGCATTCAAAGCACCCTCGACAGATGGCCATCCAGCCTCTGTTTAAAAGCCTTCACCACACTCCAGGGCAGAGAGTTCCACTGCTGAACAGCTCTCACAATTAGGAAGTTCTGATAATAAGGAGATGCTAATGATGTTTTCATTGTTCTTGTTGTGTTTTATACTGTTTGCATTATGATTTTATGTGTACTGATTTGTTGGAAACCACCTTGAGTCGCCAATAAAAGGCTGAGAAAGGCGGTATACAAATACAATAAATAAATAAATAAACAGACAGACAGACAGACAGACAGACAGACAGATAGATAGATAAATAATGTTCGGGTGGAATTTCCTTTCCTGTAGTTTGAAGCTATTGTTCCGTGTCCTAGTCTCCAGGGCAGCAGAAAACAAGCTTGCTCCCTATGATTTCCCCTCACATAGATAAGCATGGCAATTATGTCTCCTGTCAGCCTTCTCTTCTGCAGGCTAAACATGCCCAGTCTTTAAACCGTTCCTCATAGAGCTTGTTCTCCAGATCTTTGATCATTTTAGTCGCCCTCCTCTAGAACAGTGTTTCTCGCCTTTCCTAATGCAGCAACTCCTTCATAGTTCCTCATGCTGTGGTGACCCCCAATCATAACATTATTTTTGTTGCTACTTCATAACTGTAATTTTGCTACTGTTATGAATCGTAATGAAAATATCTGATATGCAAGGTGTATTTTCATATGAATATTGGTGACGTTAGGGGAAGATTGATTTTGTCATTTGGGAGTTGTAGTTGCTGGGATTTAAAATTCACTTACAATCAAAGAGCATTATGAACTCCACCAACAATGGAATTGAACCAATCTTGGCACACAGAACTCCCATGACCAACAGAAAATTCTGGAAGGCTTGGGTGGGCATTGACTTTGAGTTTTGAAGTTGTAGTTCACCTACACCTAGAGAGCACTGTGGACTCAAACAATGATAGATCTGGGACCAAA